GAACAATAAAAACCATACTCCGAATCCAAGCGCGCCGAGTATCAATATATAGAGCAGTGTTTTCTTCATAGCGTATTTAAGAATGATTGTATTGGTTAAGCTCCTTCATACCTCCGTTTGCGGAAGAAGATATAACAGGATGCAAAGATGAGCACAAATACCAGCGGACCGATAATATTGATCATCTGCCATTTTCCCTTTTCATTTTTCAAACGTCCGCCATCGAGCAGCCGGATGCGTACATCCTTGGAGCGGGCTTCCAGCAATCCCGAAGTATCAGTGAGATACTCCATACAGTTCAGGAAAAAGGTCTTATTGCCGTAACGGACGCCCTCTGATGGCGAATAACCCATTTCCACCGGACCATTGCGCTGGCTGACTTCATTGAGCATGATGTCTCCATCTCCTACAACAATGATCTTGCTCGGTTTGAGGCCCGACGGGATAAAAGGTTGCTTCAGCGAATCCAGTACCGCACTGAAAGACACCGGGATGCGGTCCTGGAATACAGAGGAGAACTTACCTTCCATCAATACGGCTACCGGCTGGAATCCTTTATTGAACAACTCCGGCTTCGGTGCAAAACGCGTCATACTCAGCGATACTCTTGCCGGCGACTGTACGGTACGGCTATACTGAGAGGTTTCCAGTAAAACTGTTTTCTGAATACCGTCATTACTGATCGTATCCAATGAGCTGGTTAGCTTGGTCACAATGGCATCCATGTTTTTCACGATCGGATGTGTAGAGGTAGGCACAAATACAGGATAATAATACCAGGCTTTCAACACGTTACCATACTCGCCATTCATCTGGCGCTCCTGCAGCCCGATAGAAGCACATTGCAGGTCTTCCACCAGGTTGCTGTTCACCCGTACGCCATATTTAAACAGCATATCATCCAGGTTCAGGTTATTGTCTGTTGCCAGGAATTGCTCGGTACCGACCAGGCTGTCCATGGTACCGGCTACCCCATCCACCATAAGCATGAGGTTACCGCCACGCATAATATACTGATCCAGTACAAACTTCTGTTTTTCGGTAAATGGAATGGTTGGCTTGCAGATAATAGCCGCGCTGTATACAGTAGGAATATTACGAAAATCCAGGTCTATGGTATCAATATGGT